GCCCATTATCTTCTTTGCAAGCACATCGCGAAGACCTCTGATGTAAAAGTGCTTCTGTCAGGTGGGTGTTTTCATTGTTGATAAGGACCGGCGGTGAGGCTGTTGAGTATTTAGTAAAAGCGATACTAAAACCTGCGTATGACTGAGCCACTGACGGAGGGACAATAAATAAAGTAAACTGACTACTGAACTCAAGCGATCAAAGTGGCAGCTTATTTTGCAAGTTATTATCTGCAACGAATGCGTGAGAAAAAAAGTTCGGCGCTTATGTCGTGGGGGGGGGGTGGATTCAAAACAGGGCCGATGGTAGGAGACACGAGGACTAAGTTCAGGAGAGGGGAGAGATGCTAGGGAGAACGCAGTCTGCTCACATCCTCCTCCAGAGTCCCTTCCTCTTCCTAAGGCTTAGTCCCAAGTGCTGTAGGTGGCTCACTCACTTGAATGTCCCCTCCCAACGACATAAACGCCAAAAGTTCTATTTTGTATGAAGGCTCGGGATTCAGTCAATTCATTGGACTGGCCTGTGAAAAGAAGTGGGAAAAAATCGAAATGTTCCTTCGGTTCTCAACTCTCCCAAAGAACTGTTCGTCTACAGAACACTAGTCACACGTATGAAGAGCCACATGTGAAAGCTTTTTGTCTAAATCCCCTTCCTGGTCAATTCTTACATGACTCACCGTTCTCTGCCCCAGTCCAACATACCTGCTGTACATATTCCCCACCCCCTCCCTTTTCCCCTTCTACGAATTTCCATCGAGCGAGAGAGAGAGAAAAAAGGTAGTAGAACATAGTAGAAGAAAGGAGCGAACTTAGATTTCATTTGGACAGTCTCAGCCTAGAGCCAGGTATGGCCGCTGTCTTAAGGAATCCTTGACATAAGCTTTCCCTGATCATCGGTTTGCTCCTTTCCCGACTTTCACTTCGAGAATAGTAAAATTATTTAAAAAAGATGGTCATAATCAACTCCTACGGCCTTGCTTTTAAAATCTGGGCCGTCTACTCCAGATGGTCGTGTTTGATCAGTACCCGAATTATGCTAGCGCTTCGTGCCCGGTCCACCAAATCAAATGATATCTGCGCCACTGGTTTTTCTGCCGGTCGTCATTGCGCAATGCATACCACGCCACGGCTCTATTTTCCTTTCTTTTTTTGCAGTTGCAAATCCGAGCCCAGCTAAGCAAACAGTATCGCAGACACAGTGGCAGCGCTGCCGAACGGCTACTGAGCGTACTCTGACACTGGTAGAGGTAGCAGTAGACTGTGCTTTGAACTACCACAGTTACCTGAGCTCCCAAGGATGAACCGTTTGTAGCCAGAGTCACTTTGACGATCCTCCCTCACCAAAGTTGAACAAAGCGTAAGAAAGAAAAGGGTTCCTGATCTGACATGTATTTAGTAAGGTTCCGCAGGAGAGATCTGACCTGCGGAGATGTTCCGGAGGAAAAAGGGCGGTGTTTGTCATCGAATGACGCTACACAGCTGGAAAGTGTGTCAAAATAAGGGTCTCCCAGAGATTTATTATTGCCATTCCAAGGAGATTGAACGGGACACCCTGACCACATGGCAGTCAATAAAGCGATCACAATAGAGCGTCTGATTTTACTGCAATCCCATATGGATGCCCACCCGTTCAGCACCCACGTTTTCAGAGGCACCAAAGGGAGATTGGCAGTGACTTGACATCTTCTAAAAACTGATGCCTGCATATCCCATGAAGTGGAATGGATCATAATTAGCGGTATCTTGCGAACAACATCAGATACCGCTAGCTGTTTTCATTTCCTAGCCCATGATAGCCAGGTGCTAAAGTCACCGCTAAACAGAGAACACAGTGGTTCTGGCGACTTGAACAAAAACTAGATCAGTGGTTGAATTGAGGAAAACCTTTGTGAAGGCAAAACACGCATCCATCCACATTTGTAGATCGTAGATCAGTGGCACTTCAGAAGGATCCATTACTACTGATGGCTTTTTCTTTCGCTATTATCGATCCAATCAGCTTTCCAGAGCACTTTTCGCGTTCTTCTCCAGGTAAGGTGAAGATGTTTGCCGATCCACCCGAAGTCCTTATTTTCCCACGATGATGAACCCCAGAAAGGGTTACGTAAACAATCGTCAGTGTGTGTTGACCGACGACGAAAACGGCCTACTCAAGTGGCGAACCGCTCTAAAGATAAGCTGAACAAAGCAATTCGTCAGCGACTCGGCGTGGATCCATTTGAATGACTTCGTGTACTTCTTGAGCCATTTTTGGGGTCCGTTCTAACATTTCACAGCCCGAGCAATGGCTGATAACAGAAAAAGGAAGAAATGCGTGGAGGGGAAAACTTCTATGGAAACAAAAGGTATTCGATCATTTAGAATTGTTCATGTGAAGGTTGCATCCAGAGAATACACAGCGCTTACGCGAAAGCATCGGAAGCCCTTTTGTTATCCTGATTAGGGAAATGACAAATAAGGAGCCCATTCAAAGGATCCTTCCCGAGAAAATCTTGAATTTCTTTCCCAACATGAACACATCAGAGACACCATACAAAGTTTCACGCACGAAGATTCGGTTTCTAAAGAGAGACGAACTCACGAAATCCACACTCCATGGACAGATCGAATGGTAAAGTTGTGCGGAGCCAAAGGAGGGGCATGGAAGAAGTCCGCTACGGGGCAGCTACGTATCAGGCGACGCAACGAAAGAACCAGGTTGAAGCGTGCGATTTTGAGAGTAGAGAAAACTCGATCGATAGAACAGGGATGCAGTAGAGGTGTGAGATGTTAATGCAATAACTCAAAAGGTCAGAAAGAGTTTTTAGTGACAGCACTGCGAGAACCAAGTGAACATCCCGTCCGCAAGTCTTTGGGATATGATGTCCGTACTCTGGACGAGGAGCCCAGCCCTTTCGACTTTTTGGATTTTTCACTAAAACAAGTTTAATTTTTTTTCTCTTTGTTCCTATCGTGGGCGATGGATCCCAAGCCAGTGAATCATGAGTGATATAGAATTACGATTTTTCCGAGAAGGATTCCTTCTAACCTTTAACATGCAACGACCGCAGTAGCAATGATAAAGTTGGTTCAGTACCACAACTACGTCTTTCACTTTGCTTGAGCGAAACGCCCTCACTGAGATTGGATCAGATCCCTGGTCTTAGCCAGTCAGTGGGTGCAAGCTCGAGTAGTCCAGAGGCGCAAGCGTGTCCTAAACGTGTATCAGTATCCGACAGTCATAGGCAGTCGCAGAAAGAGCAAGTACAGAGGACGAGTTTTCTGCGCGCGTCATTGAACTTAAATGATGAGGAGACCCCAAGCCTACTCGTCCACCTAAGTATTCATTTTCATTCAAGGCACGGATAGTTCCAGTTCCCTCATAGCTTCTTCCTTCCGCCTTTTCCAATAGTGCGGAAATGAGCTTTTATATTCAACACAGTAAAACTCTCCGCTGCTGTTACCTTGAGAATCACTTCTACGACCCAGTGATCTGATTGGGTAGATGCAAGTAGTTTACTGCATGAAAATCAGAATCGCCTTCCATCGATAGGCTGCCGTGTTTTCTAATTTCAGTGCATGGCCCGGCACAAATGAATCGCACTCTATTCCCCTGTTCGACCCCCGCGCCCCACTACAAATTTGGTTTGCCCAGCGCCGGCTCCACCCTTTATCTTACCCTTCTGTAGCTGCGCTTACCGTCACCGACTAGAATGATCATTTACCCAGTTCTTGGCTGGGGATCGCGAAGGTCGTCCCTCGTTGTTACTTTCGGAAAAATTTTTACCGACCCCCCCCCTCCCTCACGTGGATGTCTTGAGATAGCCGAACCCTCTTTTCCCTACCCTCACCCACCAACCTCCCATCTACTCCACCCGCCCACTCCTTTCTTCCCCATTCCAAAAACGGCCAGCAGAAAGGCAATTTATTATCTTGCGCGCGCACTCCGGATGTGCACTCGCCGGCACGGCCTACTACCCACGAAATCTTAGTTTCACCTCAATCCCACACGTGATTTCGAGCAACTAAAGTGGGTACGACCCCCCCCCTCCCACAAACTCAACCAGGTACGACCCCCCCGTTGTTACTCGTAACAACGTAGGGTTGACCCTGCGCGGACCTCCCAAGAGTGCGGACTGAAGCACGATTGGCCCCAAAGGAGTGGCCTCGGCGACTTATTAGGGCTCAGTCTTGGCGCGCGTGTCCAGTGCACGCCCACCGACCAGCTGATCACTCAGCAGGTCTATACGTGGCGATTGATTAGATAGCAGAGAGAGCGTAGTGTTGAAGAGGGCACAGCGATGAGAGTCGCATCAATGCTCAAATCAACGGGCAAGGAAGGGGTCCCATTTCTCGGGTTCTGGGCCGTTTCTCATGGTTCTTCCTTCTTTCGTGTACCACTCACCATCCCTAGGTTAATTTGAAATGGGTTGCTTTTTCATCGTGAATTCGTCCTTTAAGGCAAACCCGGGATTAGCCCGGCTGAGTAGGAAGGATACCGCGAGGGAAATTGTAAGACCCGTACCTACCTAGATCACTTCAACTTGGTCGCGAAAATCGCGCGGTTAGGGCGCTAATCCTTACGGGCCTCCAACCATCGAACGCTTCCCACCCACCGCGAGATGTGGTGAGATCAGCGTGCATTGATGTAGAGATCAGCGTGCTCTCTCAAACGACGTTCTCTCTCGCGTGTTTTGACCTCTCTGATCGCCCTGTCTTGCCGTCGTACCACATCCGACCTTTTTGAAGGTTAAGGCCTTAAGTTCAGCGTTCCCAAAGAGTTCTCTCGTTTCCCTCTCCATTTAGGGGTCGCTCTGCAGCTAAGCTACCACTGCGAAGCGTTCTTAGCACCAGTTTAATTCCGGAGTTTGCCTTTAAGGGATCGTATAACCATCGCTTGGTGCCCTCCACAGATAATAATATCAATGGAGCCAACGTGATCGATATTGTGACTTTCCCATTTCAATCATTCACAAGTTTTAGGCGAAGGTGCAGACGAGCTTTTTGGCTCCTATGCATACATGCAACGAGCACCAAACGCTTTCCATCTGCAACAAAAGGAAATTCTACGTCGACTGACTCATCTTCACCAGTACGATGTGCTGAGGTGCGATAGATCCACATCGTGTCACGGCCTTGAGATTCGCGTGCCGTTCTTGGACAAGAGGTATCACATTGCAGGATCTCAAAGGAAGCTGCGCATCAACTATAGCTGATTTAGGTTCATCGATCTCGTGGCGCGGCTTCCTCCGACATATAAGCTGATTCCAATGAAGCTGGAGAAGTTCATTCTTCGCAGTGCTTTCGAAGGATGGCTACCAGATGAGGTGCTGTGGAGAAGCAAGGAAGGTTTCGCAGAAGCCCTCGGTTGGTTTTATTTCACAACCGGTACGAAAGTACTGTCATAACCACCCATATGCGAAGTTTAGCACAAAAGTTAAATCTACTTTTTAGAATTTGTTGAGAAGTCGCTTTTCTTAGATAATATACCATGGGACTTGTCTAATTCATTGTGGGTGGAGAATATTTGAATGGGGGGTTGGCGGTGCAAACGGGCACGTAGACTTTCCGAGATCTACGCTGTTCATGCCGCGAGTTTCGAGTTTGTTGAAATGTAACAGATTTTGGAACCACAGGTGAGGGTTTAAGCGCATTATGAGGGCTTTTTTCTTTTTGGAGTTTCTCCTTGGAATTTAGAAAATTCCCTTTTGTGCAAGGAATGGGTAGTTACTGGGAGATGTTTGATTACTTTACATTTTTTATCATGGAACGGTCGCATGAGGCATGGAGGGGGAGGAGCGGCGGGCATGGATATTGGGAGTTTCTTCCATATACTGTTTCGTCCTTTTGATTGATCTTACTCTTATTATTGTACTCGTAATTCATGTATGGGCACTCATGTCTCGAAGGGGGAAATTCAGAACAGGGCATTTAAAAATCGGTGGGTGACACTCGGTTGAGCCCAAGATAGGGGAGAAACGTCAAGGTGAAAAAGGTCGCTCAGATACTCCACCTGAATCCTTTCCCCTCCCTAAGACTTAATCCTGAGTTCTTTGTCCAGCTCACTGACTTCAATATTCCATCCAACCACATGAGATGTAAAGTATGAACGTAAAGTGTGGCGTAAAGTGTAAAGTATAGCATGCAAAATACGCAATCAACCTTGAACTTAATTATGACTCTCTATGATGTTGATACTTGCTGCTTCCACTTTCTAATCCGACAACTAATCGAAAAATTCCAGGCAAAACCGATCTTGGCGACATTGTACATCAACATGCTAGTACGTTGTTCTCCGAGAAGTTGTTCTCAGAACGAGCCGACCGTTTCCCGGACAGGACACCTGAGACTCCAGAGGAATACTGGTATCGGCAGATCTTCGAGAACACATTCCACTACGGAAAAGTTGGGCCATTAGTCCACACTAAAGTGTACAGGTATGATAACGCCCTACTTATATTTTTGACCTACCAGTCTCACGGCTAACGGAACTTCCCTCACCGACCAGAGAGTTCTTCTGGGTCAAAACGCTCCAAAAGACGCCATCCATGTGAATCTATGACACTTTTAGAACGGCAGCCTGGCACCTGGTCGAGGAGAAGGAGAATCTCAAAGAGTCACTCGAAGTGAAACAAGAAGTACAGTCAATGATGCGCTTACGACGTCGATCAACCGGAAGTACAACCCTTTCCGGAGTTGCATGACGAACCAGACTCTCACGAGCCCCTTTCGGACAACCCCTTTTCATGTATGATTTCTCAACGAAGATACTAGCCGGTCAGTGGTCATACTCGTTATTCCTTTCAAAGGTCATTCCTCAGTGCGCCATCCGCATCTCTTCCCAATCCCAGCAACCAGCAGGTTTCCTCTTCCTGTTGTCGTTCCCATGTCCCTCTGTAGAGAACACATCCCTCATTGTCATACCACAATTGGTACCCGGTGTCCAAACGTAGCTAATCATCTAGTCCGCACCTACCATGTCGCATATGTAATATGTAATATTAATAATATTACAAATTTATGAATCATACCTGTATGTACATACTGCCATCGTTATTGCAATAAATGTGTGAAATTTCATGGAAACCAGACCTTCTCTATGAAAGCGAGGGTAAAGAAGTGATTATAGAAGTTATCCGTATAATGGGATGTAAAATATTATTGTATTTTATTAAGCACACATCCAACTACCTCACTGCAATGTGGCTTTTACTTCATTCTCTAGGAAGCTGGAGTCGTTTTGATTTGAAGTCTGTTATAATGAATGTCAAATATACCAAGACCGGCGCTTTCAGCGCCTAGGTCCTTGGTGTACGCACCGTACATATCTTCCATGTCAGAAACTGGACTCAGAATCAAGGCCCGCATGCTTCACGATAAGATCAATTCTGAATCTAATCTCCCCTTTAAAAAGCGAGAAAGTGTCGGGTGCAGACCAAACACCACAACTGACGACGGCCTCAAGTAAATCTGGTTAGAAGTTGTTCATAGTGATAGCTGATTTCTGGTAAATGATAGTTGTAATTAGTGACAATCGATAGAATACAACTGCAACAGGCTAATCATTTCATTGGCAGAAAACATTAACATTTTGTGAAGGCCGTCGTCACTTGTGGTGCATGGTCTGCACCCGACACTTTCTCGCTTTTTGAAGGGGAGGGTATGTAGGATTTATAGTTGTCCAGTTATATGTGGTTTCTTTCCTTTCTTGTAAAAAGATAATACAAATAAATAAAGAAATGAAAAGAGCTTTGAGTCTAGACACAATCGCAACACGCATCGAGAATCTTGCAGATGTACCGACAACTCCTAAGTGCAAGCAATTACTGGCGGTCCTGCTCAAGTCGTACAATGTAAAGGTGCCGAATGCGGAAAAATATTTTGCTTCCGCATGAGACGGATATTTTGGTAAGTCAGAGACATGTGTAAAACTTTGCCATATAAACTACACACCCAAAAGAAACAATCTTAACAGCACATTTGTAAGCAATTACAGATATTCCGGCGAAGCTAGAGGCGCTTATGAAACGAAGTACGGGGTGTAGTCATTTCTAAAGATCGATTATTGACCATACACGAAAAAAAAAATGTTGCAGCCGCTAACATTTATCACAATTCATGGAAGGGTACGAACAAGAAACATTTCAGAGCTTTTTTTGGATTGATTCCAGAACAAACACAATCTTCTCGTTTACTACAAAAAAATTAAAATTTTAATCCGTGATGATCTATGGGAACTGCTGTCACCGGATCTAAAGGGGATGTGATGGATTGATTTTCTTACAAAGATTCACTTTGAGTATGAAGCGGATGTCCCGAGTGAGGCCAATTGCGCGCAGAGGCGGCAAGAAGGCCGAGTCGGCGGACGAATCGCGGCGCGTGATGTGCGATGAAGGACGTGCAATGGGACATTCTATTTAACTTGACGCGATTTCCCTAATACGCGCGCGACTCGTCCGCTCGGCATTCTTGCCGCGCGACGGGCCTCCTGACGGGGTACCCTGACATGAGTACAGTCTCTTAAAGCCTTCTCAGTTCTCCGGCTGTAAGCAAAACATTCCAGCCTTTGGCCCAACGTTTTGAGCTTCGTGTTCACTTACAATATTTCATTGCAGTCTCTGCAGCCCAACGACCCGAGGATGAACTTGGCTTTGAGAAACCAAAGCACATTCTTCAGCTACTTTCGACATTCTGGTACCGCCGCGGATTCCGGCAAACAGATCAGTGTCAAGCGTTAGTGCAAGACGCTCCACTTTAGTATTTAACGTGTGCTGAGGAGACGTAGAGACGCCAAATTGCCCTTTGAGAAAACACAGCTCTTTAGAAAAATGTCCTCGGTATAATTCATCTAGCAAACAACACTGACTCTCACGTTCGGTGCTCTCAGTGAAAAACTTCTATGAGTCTATGAAAATGAGGGTCGGCAAAAGCAACACCACGTTGGGATGCAAGAGAAGTGCCATGTGAAATAAATGCGCCGGCTTCGTTCTTGGCACTGAAAGTACTTTTGGAACTTCATCATGTTTCAGCCATGCATTAGAGATCAAACAAAGAGCAGATTGAAAGCCAAGTAGCCCGACGTGGCCACAACCGGACAAGAACGCACACAACTGCAGATGACTCGGTGCTCTCACACACCTCTGCTAGCAACCTGTCTTGAGTTGCAGAATCCTTGACGTGAGGGACAGGGAAGGGGAGTGGAAGGTCGTTTCTGGACTAGTGTAGAGGTCGTAAGTGTTGGGGTTGTGAAGGGAACAGAACAGCGATAGACTGCCTGAGACGGGATCGGACAGGCAGTTCGCGCTTCTGGAAGTCGAGCGCACGCTGAGCCCGTGGATTGTGCTGTGCGCTTCAGCTCCTGCTAGTGCAATGGAAGCGCGAGTTGAAGAGGCATTCAGAAGTTTACGGAACGAATCGTTTGAAATGGCATCAAAGAATCTAAAATTGAAGAAAAGACTAGGCAATAATTCGCTTTACCTTCATAACGTATTCCTTTCAGCCTTTCTTCGCTTAAGAAGGAGATTGCTTGTGAATTCCGCATTTTTGCACGAAGCTATGATATGTAAGAAAAAAGCTGTGATCGTTGAATTTGTGAAAACACGACGAAAAACTACCTCTCTATAGTTCTTGGACAAAAAACCCTAACAGAGCCACTTTATATGCTAGTTTCATTTCATACTCACAATGATCAAAGTCACAGTAATAATGCAAATCTTCTCTTATAGCTCCCACCGCATGAGTTGAGCACTTCTCAAAAAACACAAGCAGTCGATCCTTCAGGTCTTCTTTGCCGAACTATATTAGTTATTTTTATCTGCTTAATGCGATCGAGCGACTTAGCTACTCTACGCTAGCAATGGGCAGAGGAAACCTCTGTAAACTTAAATTTTATTGAACAATAATCTCCTGACCGCACTGTTATTGAGCAATCCCGCGCGGCGCGAATGGGTTAAGTATTACCAGTTTAGCTCCACAGGCTACCGCGGGCATGACACGTAATGCTTCGGTGAAATTGGACAGGCGGTAGAGGGTCAGGTTTCACCGCTAAACAATGTGTTGCTCCGTAAAATGCGATAGCGACCGTTCCATAGGCTCCCCTTTGCAGACTTACCGTGTGGTACGCTCGGTGCGGAGCTAAAGTTGTATCTGTGGACCGCCAGCACGCACCGAATGTTAGGATAATTTGGCGGTCGAAATATTTGGTGCTAGTATTTGGTGTAGAATGATGTAGACATAGAATACCCTATACTCGTTATCGTATTTATTCGAGCATCCATTCATCCTCAAGAACTCTAGAAGGTGTAGCGGTCGAAAGGTGTTTGAGTTTACAATTACAACGCTAATGAAATGATATTGAAATGAAATGCATTATCTGCAATCTGGTTTCGAGTGATCTCTATGTTCGTACGCATATCGTTATTATCAGTCCTTATCAGCCGTTATCACTTTCTGTCCCCACAAATATGTTCCCGTCCCACCCTGTACATCACTTCTTGGAACCAACGCCCTCACTGCTGCTGGGACGCGCGCTATGAATTTCGTGAAATTTGCGTTTCAGCGCCTCTTAT